TTCCTGGGGCGGCCGCCGCGCTGGAGGCTGCGGTAGGCCGCGGCCTGGCACAGCTCCACGGACCACTCCTTGGGCTGCCGCCGCCGGCCGTCTTGGCGACGGCGAGCAGCGGGCACCAGCCGCCCGCGGCGCCGGATGCCCAGGCGCCCTCGAGGCAGCACGCGGTCGCCAACCCGCAGCTGCCTTCCGCGGCAGGGACCCCAAACCACCCTGACACCCGTGCTATCACCATCACCACCATCACCATCATTACCATCATCACCTTCAGCATTGTCATCATCATCATCATCACCATCATCATCATCATCACCATCATCATCATCATCATCATCATCATCACCATCATAATCATCATCATCATCATGTTCGTCACAAGCATGACCACTATCAACATCATCAACGCGTACATCAGCAACATTTCCATCTGCAGTGTCATCGGCATCATCGTCGTCATCGCTAGCACCGTCAACGTCGACATCATCATCATTAGCCCCAGCATCACCATCATCACCGCCATCGTCGTCCGTCCTCGTCACCACCCCGTCATCGTCCCCCAACTATGCTTCCACCGCCGCGCCTGCGGTCGTGGAGCTCCCGCAGGCCGTCGTAGCCGGCGGCCAGGGCGCCGGCGGCGTTGCCCGCCAGCACGCGGGCGCGGCGCGGCTGCGACCGCGGCTGCGACCGCGCCCTCTTGCGCCCTATGGCGGCCGGCGGCGCCGCGGGAGCGCGCAGGAGGGCTGCCAGCGGCAGCGCCCCCCTGGAGTCCCGCGCGACGTCCAAAATGGACATCTTGGGCAACGCGCACGACCGACGACGACGACGACGACGACCCGACGACGGCGAGGGGGTGAGAGAGGGAGGGAGGGAGGGAGAGGCAGCATGGGGGAGAGAGAGGGACGCAGGGTGTGCGCGGGGGGGGGGGGGGGGAAGTGGGGCAGAGGGAGAGAAGGGGGGGGGAAGAATGTGCGAAAGGTGTGGGGAGTGCAGATAACAAAATACAAGGGTGAGAGGGGAAAGAAGGCGGGACGAGGGGCGGCAGTCGGAATGGGGAAGGAGGGCGCGAGGGATGGTGGAAAGCGGTGCGGGGGGGAGGGGGGGGGGGTGGAGGAGTTTTTTCTCTCGGGAACAGCGAGCCGCAGCACGCAACAGGGCACTATTACACACATCGCGCGATCTGGCGCCCACCATCCGACCACCGACACAATCGACACAACCACGACGCGGTCGTACGCGCCGTCCCCTTGAGGGTCACCAGCTCCGAACACCCCGGCACGCCTCGAGTGGGCAGTCAGCGCTCCTGTACATGGAGCGACCTGCAAACCAGACAGAACCGAGGGGGGGGGGGGTGAGGAGCAGCGGAAAAAAACGGCAGGATGGGCGCGAGTGGAGGGGGTGGAGAAGGTGGAGAAGGTGGAGATGGATAGGCAACAAGGAGAGAGGAGGAGGAGGATGAGGGACAGGAGAAGGGAGCGTGGGAGGAGAGGGTGGAGGGGGAGCAGGCCAAGCGACCTGGTGACGCCCAACCAGCCCCTGGGGCGAGCCCGGCTCCCGATGAGCGAAGACTGCCGAACAAACCCGAACGGCATGCTTGGCCAGGCCCGCAAGAGCCCTAACAGCCCCCAAAAAAGACCACAGAGAATCCTAACAAACCTATCAGGCCCAAAGATGCCCTAACAGCCCCCAAAGAAGCACTCTGACAACCTACCCCACCCACCCTCTTCCCCCTCTGAAGAGAAAGCGCCCTCTCCGCCCCTCTAGAGGAAATGAAACAACAAGCGCGAACGATGCCAGAGTGCAGAAACACAAAATTGCAAACAAGCAAAACAAAGGGACGCCCGCACGAAAACCCACGCGACCCCCAAAACTTGTGCCCAAGAATCGGCGGGATTCTTGGGCACACTTCCTCCTACTACCGTGAGCACGTGAAAACAATGCGCCATTTATGTAACACGTGTGCATGTTTTGAAGTGAAGCAGCCACTTCGGGCGCCAAGAGAAGCATTTTGACCAGGGGGTGCAGGTGAAAAAAAAAACATAGGCTCCAACGGGGGGGTAGCATAAGCAGAACTTGGCCCTGGGAGGCCGCCCCCTGCGCTGGTGGACGCCCCCAAGACGACGAGAACACGGCCCCAAACACCCTCCCCAGAGGAGGAGGGAAAGGATCAGGAGAAGGGCGCGTGGAGGAGCAGAAGGTGCAGGAGAAAGCGGAGGATGAACAGGAGGAAGAGGAGGTGGATCAGGACGAGATGAGGAGGAGATGAGAGGAGGAGAACGAGGAGAAGGAAGACGACGAGGAGGGCGGAGAAAGGGGGGTCGAGGCGGAGGAGGGGGGAGACAAAGGGCGAGGCGGAAGACCAGCAGAAGAGAGTAGGAGGAGGAGGAGGAGGAGGAGGAGGAGAAGGAGGAGGAGGAGGAGGAGGAGGAGGAGGAAGGAGGAAGGAGGAAGGAGGAGGAGGAAGGAGGACGGGAAAAGGGAGTGAGGGAAAGAGGGAGCGAGAAGCAGGGAGGGACGGGGGGGGGGGGGCGCAGGGAGGGAGGGACGGAAGGAGAACAAGGGAGGGGAGCATGACAGGGGGGGAGGGGCAGGCGGCGGAGGAGGACGGCGGGCAAGGGGGATGAGGAGGGAGGAGGAGGGGAAGGAGGAATGAGGAAGGACGGATACAGCAAACATGAAAACCTAAGCAAGCGGACAGTGCAAACGCGGACGCCAGCCGCTCGAATACCAGGCAAGCGGGCGACGCAACACACCAAAGGCGGGGCACCACACGCGAAACGCAAACACAAACGGCCACGCCGACGCATGCGACTAGAAAGGACAGCTCTTACCGTAAACAACTGGACAACGTCTCAGATCCGCGCCACTTCAACAGCATTACCAAATAATATTTGGGAGATCACAAATTAATTTTCCGTAATTATGAGTAAAAACTGCAATTATTTTCCAGTATTTCTGGAATTGTGTGCTTGGAATTCTTCGGGCTCTTTCCCTGAGAGTGATTTCTGCTTGTGGCGTGGGGCTCCTCAATCAATGGCTCCCCGGGACCGAGCAGATGGCGCAGCTGAAAGTTCGCGCCGTGGTCGAGCATGTTCAGAACCGTCATCTTAGTGCTGAGAATTGTAACGAACAGACAGTCCACAGCGACCAGCCGATTGAACCGATAGGTTCGGGGAACGGCGGCTCGACGCCTCCACGACGGTCGAGTGTGGCTGTCACACTGCTCGCAACGAAACTCGTGCTTGACGTATTCTATAACTTCGGGCCGGGCCTGGGCAACCTGCAACATCTTCAAGAAAGCATCCCTCGACGGGTGGCCCAGGTTCACGTGGGTCCGGGAAACCTCCAGGCGCTGACTTCGACTGATTGATCCGGCCTGCCTCCCCGCTCTCTGACTAGACCCGAGTCCTCCCTCCCCCTCGCCCTCCTCGGGCTCGTCGTCCGAGCCAAGGTCCTCTTGGGCTGGAAAGGACTCAACCTGTCGATCGATCGTTCTGGGGGATGGGACCCCTGTCCCCCCCCTCTCAGCCAGCCACTCGGGATCCCCCAGACGCCGGACCACAAGGTTTCCTCCCGGTGCCCGGGGGCGACGATACGAGCTGACTCCAGAATTCCCTCGCACATAGCCTGGACAAGTCCCGGGGAGTAGGTCTGGGCCGCTCGCGTGAGGGCCTTGCTACAGAGCTGACGATGCTGATGACTCCCGTCGCACCTGAGCAGGAGGGGCTGCAGAATAGACGCACGATTGGTCATGAACCTGGTTGGTTTCTTGTTGGGTTCCCCCCCCTTCACGGACAAGCCGCACTGGCAGAGATCGGCAACCCCCGACACGACATTCGGCCGATTCAAGATTTCCCGCACCGAGTCCATTTCCCAGGAGCTGGCACCCTCAGGGTGCTCAAGAAGGAAACCACGGCCCCGACCCATCTGGTATTCGGCCACTCTAACGCACAAGGACATGAACTTGAGTCCGGTTGTCTCGGGGTCTGCGAGGTCGGCCCCCTTGAGTCGATGCCAGCTGGGGCGACGGGCAACGGAGAAAGCCAAACACTCAGGGCTCATGACTATGACCTCGGGCCGATCTCGCTCTATGATGCTCCACATCGCACGTTCCCCTGACGGAGACCCGAGATCATGGCCGGTCCGTAGATCCAGACTCTTGGAAACAGGATAGCCCTGCCCTTTCAGACTGTCCGCGACCCGGGGGGCCGAAAAGAGTTCCATGACCAGCTTGCGGCCGGACCCCAAAAGCCAATCCTGGACGAGCTTCTTCCGCCGCTTCCGCTGCTTCCTCACCGGTCCCTCCCCTCCAACGGCCAGCGCGGCGTCTCGGACCTCCCTGGGAATCAAGCACGAACTCTCCCGGGGGAAAACCAATCCTGAGATCGAGGGGGCCCGGCCAAGGGAGTATATACCCTCCAGCGGAGACGCCGGCCCAGCCGGAGTCCTCGAACTCGAGCCGGGCGGAGGCACGTTCGTAGGCGCCGAAGCTGTCCGCGCCTCTACGGCGGCGTGGCCCAGGGGTTCGTTGGCGACGGCGAGCTGCAACTGCCGCGCCGAGAAGTCTGAGGAGAGGGAGTCGTGGAGGGTGTTTCCTGACGCTCCTGAGCAGCGGATCCTGACCCAGTCCGAAATCCACTCGCCTAGGTCGCCCGGGTCGGGCCGACGAACTAGATAGCAGGCCACTTGGGCCATTAGGCGGCATTTTTCTTCTAGATCGAGTCGGCGAGATTCCCAGCCCCTGGCCCTGGAAACCTCATCGAGCGTGACCGTCCGGCCTTCCCTAGTGTCCCACCATATGCCCGAGGCTCTAAAGCTGCTGTCTCGGTGACTTTTGCCGAGACAGCGGGATCGCGCGACAGAGGCTGCTCGCCAGATTCCCCCTCCTTCCCCGGGTTCCGCACAGAAAGATCCTCCTGGAGTGGGTCCCTGGAAGCCCCGACCGTCCTGGATCCCCGGGTTCCCTTGGTTTCCATCCCTGATCCCCCTTCGGCTCTCTGAGCCCCTCAGGTCTCCTTCTGCACGAGCTGCTGGATCGCCAGTGCCAGCTGCGATACCACCTCGCTGTTGGTCTGGATCGCCTTCATCATCTGGTTGAGGTCGGAGCCGCTCGTCTCTACCATCGTGTCGGCCGAACCGGACGACGCCGCTGGAGTAGCCCTGGCCGCCCTCTTGATGCCCTCCTTGCTGCGGCCCTCGACCTTCGGCGGCTCCCGGGGCGGCGTCTCCACCTGCTTGGCCCTCGCCGCCCGCCGGGCCTCCTTCTCGATCTTCTTGAGCTGCTGGGCCTGCTTCTCGCGGTGCGCGAGGTCCCCCCTCCAGATCATGCTCGAGCACCTCAGGCACTTGACGTAGCGCATGTGCTGGTTGCCTGACTCCCAGTGGGCCCAGGGTGGATGAGGGCACTCCAGGGCGTTCATCTTCCCGGTCGCCTCGTCGCGCATCTCCTGTATCATCTTGGTCGCTTGTCCCACGTCGGCCACGTGCATCAGCTTGACCGTCATCCGCTTCCAGGCCTTCCTCAGGGAGCTCGTCTGGAGGCCGATGTGGGGCCCCGACGTCGGCTGGGGCGGTGACGGGGATGCGGGGCGGGTCGAGGCTGCGCTGTCCTGCAACGGTAGGGACGTCTGCTCGCTCCCCTCGGACTCCATGTCGGATCCCGGCAGCCTCTCCCAGCTGGTGTCCATCGGCTCCGAGAAGGTGACTGACGGCCGGGGTGTCCCTGGTGCTGAATTCTTCCTCGAGGCCCCCTCTCGCTTCAGACTGGAGCTTCGCCTCACTGCTGGCGTGCGAGCTCTCCCGGACGCCATGGCTCTCTCGTGGCGGAGGCTCCTGCTCTCTCAGCCCGTGAGATGAATCGAGGAAATTGGACGTGCTCTCGGGCCCATGGGTCTGGACGACGGTTGAGGTGAGCTCCGAGAGGTGCCTCCTGGTCTCTCCGCCGCCTCCTCTCCCTGTGCCACCTCCTCTGGTAACTGTATCCTCCTCAGCTTCTCCTTCTCTTGTACTTCGTGATATCACCGTAGTGCCTCTTGAGTCCTTAAGTCGGGTATCCTGGAATCCTGCCGAGCCGATCCCCCCCTTCCCTTCTACGGCCCCGGGGGTTTCGAGTTCGAGGGGGTCCGAGATGGGCTCTCCTGAGGCCTCGAGCGTAGAGGAGGGGAGGATGGCGAAGGAGGGAGGCCTGCACACTCGAAACGTGTCATTGTCGAGGCCCGGCCAGTCGCGCCGGGCCCCCTCAGGAATGTCGAAGTCCCCCGGGAGGCTCTCGTCCAGCAGCGCCATGGTGCGATGGCCGGACTTCTGCCTCGTGAGCTTGACGGTGCGGTCGCGCCCCTCGAAGCGCAGCGTGATCTTGTCCTCGGCCAGGTTCACGACGGCCCCCAGGCTCTCCATCCAGCGCACGGGCAGGAGGAGGGGGACGTCCTCCGCGATCACCCTGAAGAGGATGAGGCACCAGATCCCCGCCCTGGCCACCGGCACCATCGCTTCCCCGACGACCCTGGAGCGGCCACCGATCCCCTTGGCGCTGCTGTTGCCGTCGGTCTTCCTCACCGGGATCCGCCAGCCCTTCTTGTAGCACTTCTCCTGCAGTACCTTCAGCTGCTTCTCGCCCACCAGCGCCTGCCCGGCTGCCGTGTCCACCATGCCCTCCGGCTCGTCGCCCTCGATGTCCAGGATGAACGTGACGAGGACCGCCTCCTCCGACTTCGAACGAGGCCCACCTGGCCCCAGCTCTCTGCCATCGGGATCTGCCCCCTCCGACCTCGCACGAGGCCCACCTGGCCCCAGCTCTCCGTCATCGGGATCGCCTCGTTCCTCCGCGAGTCCCACCTGGCCTCGCAGAGGCTTGTCGGCTAGCGCTCGTCCGTGGCCCACCTGGCCCCGGTCGCAGGGCTCGCCGATCAGCACGTTCCGAAACGGCTCCCGAATCCGAGGTCCTCCGACGAGGAAGGCGCCGTCGCCCTCGTCCAGCAAGCTCGCCGCCACGTAGAGCGACTTCCCCCCGAGCTCCTTCTTGGGCCGCTGCTCGATCTGCTTCGGCTTGCACGGGTTGGCGCACTCCTTGCGCCAGTGCCCCTTCTGACCACAGTTGGCGCACCGCGTCCTCTCCTTGAGGCGAGCAATGCTGAGGCGCTGCATGCCCGCCGGCGGGCGCGGCGCCGCCCGGCCTCCGGCTCTCTTGGAGTCGAAGAAGTCGCGGTCTCGGGCGATGGCCTTCTTCAGCTCCCGCGACTCCGCCCACTTCCGAGGCCGGCCCTCCTTGGTCCTCTTCTCGTCCAGCACCGCGGCCAGGACGGCCGCCGCCTGGTCCTCGTCCAGCTCCTGGTTGGCAATCGCCTCGTAGAAGGCCAGCGCGTCCTCGGTATCCAGAATGAGGTCCTCCTCCAGCTCGAAGTAGACCTCGCTGCTGCCGAACACCTCCTCGTCGTCCTCGTCCTCGTCGTGTCCGACCGCGTACACCCTCGACTTTTTCTGACTGCTCCTCTTTTTCACGTCCATCTTCTGTAGGCCCTGCTTGATCGACTCCAGATCCTCGCGGCCCTGGGTGATCGAGAGCAGGTTGATCGCATTCTGTTCGCTCAAGTTCGCTCCACTCCTCAGCTGCTGCACCTGAACCTGCTCTGGGAGCTCGAGGCCGTATCTCTTCGCCGACTTCACCTGCAGGTCCCGGCGCATCACGTACTGGGTGAACGACTCCCCCGCTCTCATCTCGGTGTCCTCGAGGGCCAGCCTGAAGCTCTCCTTGGCCTCGTCGCCGTCCTGGTCGCCCCGGCACCTCTTCAGGAAGTCGATGAGGACCTCGATGCCTCCGGGGGCGTCGAGCTCCTCCGCGTAGTACAGGAGCCTCTCCTGCATGTCCACGGGCAGGCCGTCGATGACCTTGCCCGCCTGCTGCTCGGCCGGCAGGCCCGTCCTGCTGCTCCATCGCCGCAGGGCCACCACGTAGGTCTCGAGATGCTCGAATCCTCCCCACGGCTGCGGGCCCTGCGTGTCCGACGGACGCCACGTAGACGATGATCCTCCGTCGGTGGGTGCCCACGGCCGTGGCGGTGGCGGTGCCTGCGTCGTCCCGACCGTCAGCTCCATCGCTGCTGCGAGTGGCTGGGTCGGCTGCGCAGGAGCCATCGCCGCCGCGGGTGGCTGTGCTGGCGGCGTCGCCGGCGCAGGTGCCGACGGAGGGGCCTCGCGCGGTCTCGACGTGTCCGCTGAGGTCGGCTCCTGCGCCGTGGCGGGATCGCTCCCGGCCGCTCCGCGCATCAGCGCGTGGGGGAGCGGCGGCTGCCGCGGCCTCTGGATGGTGACCCAGACCTCGCCCTCGTCTGCGGGTGAGCTGGTCCACCAGTGATCTGGGTCTTCATTCGCCTGAGAGCTGGTCCACCAGCTGGCTGAGCCCCACCATTCTCTCCACGAGTTCCACCAGCTGGCGTTCTTGTTCCCTGCCGCGTCGCTCCACGGGTCCCCCTGCAGCCAGGGGTCAGCCTCCTCTGCTGTCGCTGCCGGCAAGGGAGCTCCCACGCGGCCAGTCCCTCGGCTGCCGCTCACTGCCGTTGCCGGCTGCTCTCGCGCCCCTTGGTCTCCGCTGGGAGCCTCGGGCGCTGGTGCTGCTACTGCTGCTGCTGCTAGTGCTGCTCTGGCAGCACGCTCCACCTCGTCGGGCGGGGGGGGCTGCTCGCCTCCCTCGGCGGCGCCCGCTGGCCCTTGTCCCTGCCCAACCATCACGCTCCTGCTACCATGTGAGAGAGGTTCGCGGGCGGATCGAGGGACTCTAGAGGCCCGGGGGCGCGCGGGGCGACGAGCGGGAGGCCCCCTTCCTCCCGGACGTTTTGCGCGCTTGAGCCACAAGGGTATCGGACGCAGTCAGCCTGGCACAGGCAGGCTCCCCATTCACACTGAATACAGTGTGAAGCCTATCAAACTCTAAGAACATTCTGGGGGACCTCATGGGACAGGGGGTCGAGTATTTAAAAGACAGTATGTGACGGACTGACCCTGGGTGGCAGAGATTCGACTGTGCAGTGCACGGTGGCCAGAGCTGCGCTTCCCCAAAGGTTCCCAGATTTGCGATCACATGACGAGGTCCTCCAAGATATTATCGACTTCCGTTCAGGCACCTCGGCCGCCCCTCAATTTGCTGTTGCGATACTTGGCGGCCCGCCTGGGGGGAAGGCCCCGGCGGCCCCTGAGGACCTTCCGTCTGTGGTGAGATGAGAGTGTCCCCAAAAGGGCACTCGGCACTACGGTCACCTGATGATCTGTTTGTTGTCTGATGATGAGGACACGCAGGCCTTCAAATTTCACTTTCCCCAGGTGTGTGGGGTCCCGCACGTTAGAGTCCTGCACGGTTGCGTGCCACATGGTGGGATCCCGCACGATCGGGCCCGGTACAAACGTATTCGGCACATCTCGATAGTGCCTCACACGATCCACACGACAGAGCCTATCACGACAACATCCCACACTACAGGGTTCAGAGCGTTAGAGCCGAATTATGGTCACGTGTAATAGGAATCCCTACCACACAAACCAATATGATATGGAATATGATCCCACTTGATCTGCCCCCACACGGTAGAGCCCCAGCCAATAGAGACACAGGGCCATTGGGGCCCAGCAGGACAGGGTCCCACACGATATGCCTAACACGATCGGGTCCCACACGATCGGGCCCCACACAATAATGGCCCACCCGACAAGGCCCCGCACGATAGGGTAGGGTCCCACGAAGTAGGGGCCCGCATCACATTATCACACACGACACCAACTCGATAAAATGCAGGACGATACGCAAAATACGGCACGACAAGTTCCCGCACGATCGGGTCCTGCACGATGGGGGCATGGACCAACAACATAGGATCCCACACGATAGGAACCAACACGGAAGGATCCCAAACTTCATAATCCCACGCTGTAGTATCCAATGCGATAGGGTCCCACACGATAGGGCCCCACACGACAGGGTAAAATACGATAGTGCCCCACTCGATAGGGTCCCACACGAAAGGGCCGAGCACGGTGGAGCCATACCTACATCATACAATCCAGCGCAGTAGGGTTTCACACGATAGAATCCTGCTTGATACGATCCCACGCAAGGGTGCAACTCGACAGAGCCCCACCCCATAGGGTCACTCGGAGGGGCCCCGCCCGATAGGGCCCCACGCGATGGACGCCGCACAATAGGACCGCGCAAATGGCGCCTCACAGACATCACCTAACAGTCTGCACGAGGTCACCGCTTCGGGTCTGGACAAGGCAGCCCGCACGGCTCGCACGGGAACTCTCGGCGCGGCCGCCCCGCCCTTGTAGGATGCTGCTCTTTTACACAGCTCGGCGCGACAGGCAGGACACGCGCGGCGCAACCCCGTGCGCGCGTCGCGGCACGGCAGAGGACACGGCACCGTGTATCTCATCATAGCACGGGCGCGCCATCGGCTGCCGCAGTCGGGGCACGGCGTGCTCATTGCACAGCCCGTGCGCTGATCGCACGGCACGGCGCGGCACCAGGATTCACGCAGCGCACGCCGGGGCACCATCTCGAGGGGAATCGAGCCACCCGATGCGCTGTCTCACCTGCCATAGCTCAGCAGGAGTAGCTCAACTGGAGCTTACACAAAGTGGTGATCGCTGTTAGGATACCCTGGCACAGTCAGCCCTGCAAGAACGGACAACGACATTCTCCGATTGCTACTTCGGCACCATCCAGCCCGAACGCGCCGGCTTTGAGCGCTGGCTGGCGGGATCCCAGCCTGGGGCTTTACAGCCGTGACACCTGCGGTCACGGACGTGAGGCGGGAGACGACGGGGACGAAAGAGGCGATGAAAGCAGGAAAGGAGCAAGGGAACGGGGAGGAAGGATGACACAACTATCCAGGCCTTACCGAAACTCGCCATGGGTGTCTTCATTCGTTAGCCTCTGGGTGGATCTGGGTTCGATTCTGCCTGCCCTCGGGCCTCGGGCGTGCCCCAGGAGCCGCTCCACTGAGGAGGCCCGCTCGGCAGCGGCCGCAGCTCCGCCTCGCTGTGCGCGAAGGCGCAGGTGGGGCCCCTCGCAGGGCAGAGGAGTCCAAGCGCTCCACCCCTCCTCTGCCCCTTAGGGGCACCTTCAGCACTCCCGAAAAATCCTGTTCGGGGGAGGGGGGGGAATTCTCGTCGGCTCCTGTATTTCGTAGGTGCGACTGGTTCTTGTAACTGTCTTGTTTTTCCTGGTCCCCAGATGGTTTCCAGCACCTGCGCCTCGCCGACGGCGATCCAGGGGCGTCCGAATCGCTCCGAACGGCCGCGGGAGACCCGAAAACCATCCATCCTCGCGTGGTGGAAAAAGTCACGACGGAATCTTTTCTGGCAACTTCTGGCCATCGCCAGGGCCCAGGACTGACAAAAACGGCTCAGGATCAGGAACCAGTCCTGGGAAGAGGTCCAGACCTCTGAGGAGCCACGTCGTGGAGAATCGCGATGTCGGACGTCTGAGTCTCCCGCCTCGCCCTCCTCTTCACAAGTGCTGCCTTCCCCTTCCTCGTTTCTCTTCACACTCTCTGTCTCTCAGCCTGCCTCCTCCTACTCCTCTCTCTACGTCCTGCACCCCCTGCCTCCCCCACCCGAGGCTGGAGCCGACGAAAGCTTCTGATGAGAGGCAAGCAACACCAACGCCCCCCAAGACGGGCAGCCGCCACTTCGGGGGGCGGGGCGCGGGGGGGGGGGAGGGGGGTGCACAAATCCCTTCGTGCCCGCCTCGGGCACCCGCCGGTGCGGGCCAGGTGGGCGCACATGCGCGTCTTGTACAGCGCGCCCTGCAGCCCGCCGCCCTTCCCCCCCGCGCACTTCGCGCCGCCCGGCGCCCCTGCGGCCGCCACGGGCCCCTTGCCGCCGGCCGGCGCCACCGCTGCAGCGGGCCCCTTACCGCCCATCGGCGGCGCGAGCATGGGGCGCATCGGCGGAGCGGCCGGCAGCACCGGGGGCGCGAAGTCGGGGATGGCGCCGCCGTGTGCGGCGCGAGCGCTCGGCGCCCCGCTCGGCGGCGACCTGCTCCGCGGCCTCCTCCGCGAGCGGCTCCTGCGCCTCGCGCGCCCGGAGGCACGGGACCCCGACCTTGGTGGATGAGCAACAAAAGGACCCCTAACCCTTTGGGAGGGGACCTGAGTTAGGAGGGCCAAAAACGTTCGGGATAAGGGGTCTTCTTCCGCAGATGAATCAAGCCACACCGCCCAGACTCAGCATCCCTAGTGCAGAGGCGGGAACCTAAGTGGGGCCACGCCTTCACTCTGTCAACTATTAGGGTCAGGAGTTGTTTTATCCTCGATGGCTGATTTCTCGGCCGATCGCACCGCCCAATCACGGGATCTGATCGCAGCCCCGAGCACGCTTGCCGCCTCGCCGATCACGGATAGATCGCCGCACTGTTCGAGCGCTCGGACCCTGGCGCGATCCGGCCGAGCCGATCGGGCGAGCGGCGCTCACGTGATCCCCCAATCCCTGCGATTTGTGACCGCCGATCGGGTGATCAGCAGACGGCATCGGGGGCGCGCAAACATGGATTAGCGATCCATGGATTTGGCGCGCGGTCGCTAAATCCATGGATCGGGGGAGGTGCCCTCACCTAGATGAGGTCGGTTGCGCCTCGTTCGGCGGCGGGAATCCGCGATTTCCCATGGAAACGGGACCCGTCGCTAATCCACGCCCCCTTAATCCATGTTTGCCATCGCCTGACAATAGAGGCCTCCTGGATGGGTCAAAGAAGATTTGGTCGGAGGATCGCACCGCATCGCCGATGCATCAGCGATGCGCCCGTGACGTCGGCCATGCACCGGCGACGCAAGCGCGAACAAAATCGGGCCTCACATCGGGCCGCATCGCTGGTGCATCGACGAACTGGGGGCGATCCTCCGACCCCATCTGGGGGCATAGATCCTAGATTTCTGAAGAAACCAAGGGTACCGGTACCGCTACTCTCCGGACCTCTCCGGGGGTGCGCTCTGACCAGAACTTCGAGGCTAATCCAGCGGTGGCGACGAGGGCCTCCCAGGAGCCCCCAAAAAGCGGAAAACGGTCGAAGGGTAGCAGTATGGGCACTCGCCGGTCGGAAGAAGTAAATAAAAAACATGCAGTAGGAAGGCGGATAACGTAGACCGGGCTCAGGCCCTCCCAGAGAATAACAAAACACAGCCAAAGCAAATCGATTCCTGAAGTAGGAAAGCCCCCTTGACATAGACTTCGGATGGTCCAGACATGTCTACTTTCAAGGACCGACGGGCACCCTCTACCCCCTAGGAGCTGAGACCCCGACGCGGACGAGGAGCTGGAGCTCGACGGCCGCCGTGCCTTGGCCAGCGACCGGCTGTCGGTGAGCCCGCCCCCCCGGGCGGGGTTCGCCTCGGCGGCGCGCGGCGCCCCCGCCCCGGCGGCGTCGCCCAGGCCGGCGAGGCCGCGGGCGCCCCCGTGCACGGCACCGTTCCTGGAGGGACGACGCGCGGCTCGAGAGGGAGGCGTGCCCATACCGCTGCCCTTCCTTTGGATTTTCCCCTTTTGGGGGGCTCCGGGGGGGCCCTCGAGGCGCCACCGCTGGATTCGCCTCGAAGTTCTGGTCAGAGCGCACCCCGGGAGAGGTCTGGAGAGTAGCCGTACCAGCACCTTGTAGTAACCCCAGAGGCATGTCAGAAACGTGATTTGAGGTCAATTTCTTGCAGGGTCTGGCAGGTTTGCGTGCAAGGGTGGAGGAACGGGGGGGGCGCTGGCGAGGCCCTGAAGGAACCCTAGACTTCACGCGAGTCAAAGCTCACTTGCACATAATGCGGTGGATGGGGGGAATCGCATGCGAGCTTAACTTGCTTGAACTCAATGAACAACGCGCTCTTTTCTGACCCAAACATGATCGCGTAGTGACGCAATCAGAACGGCCCTCGCCCGGACCCGGCACCGCCAAGGAACAGCCCAGGATGAAAAACCGGCCGCGGGGAAAGGGTCGGCACTTCTGGGGACCCAACACTGAGCAAAGCAGAACATCGCATGTCTGGGTCTCGGAGGTCTTCGCGGACCGCTCAAATCGGCGCTAGGCAATCCCTGGCGCGCGGAGTGCGCAAGGGGCGCCGCCAGGGGGCCTGGCGCCGATCCGAATGAATCCGTGCGGCAGGAGGAGGAGGAGGAGGAGGAGGAGGAGGAGGAGGAGGAGGAGGAGGAGGAGGAGGAGGAGGAGGAGGAGGAGGAGGAGGAGCGCACGTCACCAAGGGGGGGCGTGATCCGTTACATATGGAGGGGGGCACGCGCGGCGCCGCGGGCCTGGTACAGCAGGGAGTCGGTCGCGACTTCCGCTGGGCCCAGGCGAGGCCGAAGCTTATGGTAAATGTGAAAAGACAAAACTAGGGCTCTATGAGCCCGCTGCCATCCGACATCGCCGTCATGGAAGTCCTGAGGATCCCCCAGCCCCAAGCGGAGCAGGGGTTCAGGAGGAGGGGGAGGTCCAAGGATGCCGGTGGCAGCCCAGAGCTTGGGGCACAAGAGATAGTGCGGGAAGGAGTCGGGGCAATCGGCGCACCCAAATCTGCATGGGAGCTGTAGGAGAATCTTCACTCTCCCACTCGTAATCCACGCGCCAGCGAAAGATTTGATGTGTGGCCAGGCATGGGAAGGCGGGACAGGGCCGAGGTGAACGCGTAAGCGCTGCCATCGGTGACGGAGGTCAGGAGGGGGAAAGGGGCTCTCAGGAAAGTAGGAACGGAATCGTCGACCGATGAGCGCGGGGATAGAATCTGGGAGGAGCTGCGCGCGGAGAGAGGCTGCGAAGACGGTTTGCCAAGCTATGGGCTTGATTCGCTGCCGTCTCTCCTCGGCTCGGGCAAGCGTTGTACTGTGAGCTTGCAAAATCGACGCTGACGGGATACAGAGACGATTGGGGACTGAAGGGGAAGGAGAAATAGGGCGAACACTCGGAGAGGCAGGGGAAGTGGGGAGAAAAAGGGAGGCGTACGATTGAACAATACTTTTGCGATTGCGCCAGCATGGTGCGCACCATTCTCCACGCACGACCTGTATCGCGGGGGCCACCGCGTAGGCACGCGCATGGAGTCTCGACCAGCTCTCCCCCCACCCGCTGAACGTCCGACCCGCCGCCCTCCGCATTACAGCAGTATTCATAAAGCGCAGTGGCGGTGGCATTCGCAACCAATGGAGCGAGAGCAGCTCGGCTAGGCGAAAGCTCGATGGTGGCAATCGAAGGAGCTTGTGCAGCGCTAGCATTTCTTTTTGGAGCAGAGTGAGGGGGGGAAAGAAGAACTGGCAGAGGTAAGAAAGACAAGGGATAATGAGGATGCTATAGAGCCGCAGGCATGCCTCTGTGGGGGCACGCGTGGCTGCGACCGCTCGGCTTCGTGACCACCACTTTTGGCCACTTGCATGGAACTGATCTTTTTCACTCGCGCCAGGTCCAATGGTGAGCCCGAGGTAGCGGCAGCAACTGCAAACCGCAAAATCGGTCCAGCCAGGGACAAGTGCATTAATGTCGTGGCGAAGAGTATCAATTTCCGCAGGGGCCAGGATCGCCCATGCTGGGAACAGACAACATTTCTTCGGTTGCAGTTCAAGCAGCGCTAGCTCCGCGGCTGCGCGAAACGGTGGTTCTACGAGGGGGAGGAGCGAGAAAGAGGGAAGAGAGACTCCAACGTCGTCGGCACAAGCACCAGCAGAGGCAACGTGAGGCGGGGAGGGGAGAACCATGCTAATCTGCTCAGCCCGCGATCCGCGTGGCATGGGGGCAGGCGCTACGACCTCTGTGGCTTCCTCGCACGCTGATACTAGGTGGCGAACCAGCGGGTCCATCCCCAGGGCCCAAAGCGTGCCCGAGAGAGGGCAACCCTGGGGAACCCCACGCGAAATCTCAAAGAGGCGGACCCATTTGGATCCCACATTGAGAAACCCAACTGAGTCTTCAGCGAGGGCTGACACTGCGTTGAGGCAGCCTGGAGGGAGCCCAAACCTGCTTAGGACTGCACGGAGCCATTGCTGGGACATACTTGGGAACGCCGCACGGAAATCAAAAGAAACAGAGCATGGCCGCCTCTCAGAGGCGTCCTCGCCCAAACTGTTCAAACGAGTTCCCGCATCGAGACGGATGATGTGGTTTCCAAAGTTACGGCCAGCTATATAGCCTTGCTGAATGCTATGGACTCTTTCTTTTGCTACTCTGCTTAAGTATGTTGACGGGTTGGGCGAGAGCCTTACTGTCGGTGTTCTTTAAAGTAAGCTGCCTAAGCGAGGCCGCATCACGAACGCATTCAGTGAGATCTTGAGGATCCTCACCTTTTGGGATGAAAGCAACATTGGAATGGTTCAAGCCTTCGACAAGGCCCCCGCCAGAAAATAACCGCAACGACACTTCGTAAATAATCTCTGCTGCCACTGGCACGGCTTTCCACGCCGCGCATGGGAAACGATCAGGGCCAGGGGAGGAGGCCCGCCCGCGGTGCAGAGCTCTGGCAAGGTCCTCTGGCGTTGGGAGAGGGAGCTCGACGGAGGGAAAGTGGGGGAGGTGCTGATCAAGGCATTCAGAAATGGCCTGGTCGCTGCCGTTGATCGCAGAAAACAGCGGCTCCCAGTGCTGGCGGATCGCGTCGACCATCTCCTCGGGCTGTCTGATGATGCTGCCGTCCGCCGGCTGGTCGTTCTTGAGCCCACTCAAGAGAAGGCACCTCTGACTTGGGTTCCATGCCAGCGCCTGTCGCATACTTGTAACTTGAATCTTGACCGCCTCTGGTACTCCAGCAAGGGAATCGTCTCCTCGGGGAATCTGTTGTCTGCGTCGGCCAGGTCGAGGCGCTCGTGCAGCATGCTGAGCAATAGCGTCAAACCGCCGCTGATTGCTGTCCATTGCCTGGGTCCTGAAGGTGCCCCCGTTCATGATATAAACCGCGCCTCTGTCGGAGATGCCCATGAAGCGCCGTGCCAGTGGAGAAGATCCACAAAGACGTTGGGCCAGCCTTGAGTCCTGTCGCCAAACAGCGCGAGCCATCATACGAAACACCATGCATTCAGTCTCCAGGTCCTCCAGCGGGTTCGCGGTATGGTGGGCGCCTTCGGGAGGAAGTTTGCGTTGAAGTTCGTCTCTGGTGAGGGCTGCTGCCATGCGCATCAACGTCTTCATTTTCTGCCACCGCCGCTCAACCTCCTGAGCCGAGACTTCACTCCCCATTCCTGGTGGGTCCGCCAGTCCCGCTGCCTCGACACATGATTGTAATATTACTTTGAATCTATCATGTCTGAATATGTGGCTGGGTATGCTTTGTAGTTCAGAAGGTGGGGGCCGTTTTGCTTGAATATGGAGTACCACGATAGCATGGTCCGAGAGCGCATAGTCACTGAGCTTGTCCGCTTCCTGCAGTATGTTTAGCGTGATGTCGCAGTCAGTCGCGAAGTGCGTGCTGAGAGAGATGAAGAAGCGATCAATAGTGTTGAGCGAGCGTGTGGCGCGGTCGTAGTGCGCGGGCAGAGGACTCTCCACCCCCAGCATGCCACATCCAAATAATGACCGCCAGCATGGTTGAGATTGGGAGGCTCGTCCGTCTAAAGACCGTCGAGCTTGTCGTTGCTTGGGGAACAAGAGCGACTGGTTCGTGAAGTTGCTAACGTTGAAACCGCCCGCATGTACGGCGAGACGGGTCAGTGCGGAATGACGGGCCCATTCCAGATTCCGAGTCCAAGTATTGCGAATCACTGTCCTTGCATTCTGGTCAATGTCGTAGTTGTGATGATTCAGAATCCGCATGGCGCGTCCCTCATAATTGACAACCTCGAGCATGTGAATGCGGCCTGGGACCAAAACAGTATGTGTGAACTTCGGCACTCGCTCCGCAGGGAGTTGGCGCAAATGATGGGGAGCGTGCCAAGGCACGATGATGGCAACTTCGCCAGTACGGTGGTCGATCTGATCCTCATCATTGATATAGCCACCATAGAAGACCTGGTAATGCACGGGAAGTTGATCCAGTAGCGTGGTGAGCATGAGCTCGTCCCCGTGGACCTCTTGAACCATGATCAGGTGACGTCGCATCAGAAGATGCTTGAGCTTGCCGATATTTAGACGCCTGTGTTTGTGATTCCAGCAGCATAAACCGCGCGCATTCCATGAAGCCACCTTTAGACCACGTCCGTCAGCGCCATTGATCTCCCAGGGCTGGAACCGCGCGCTAGGATAAAGTCCATGCCGAAGAGTCCACGTTCTGGAGCTGTTGCTTGAACTGCGCACTGACGCTTTGGAAGTCGATCTCGTGCTCTGCCACGATCTGCGGGGCCCAGGCCAGACGTGTCGGCTCGTCCACCCCCTGCGGCGTGATCTCCACAATGGGTGTCGCATTGATGCTGATGATACCGCGGGAGCGGAGAAGTCTTCAATCTTTGTCCTGATACATGCGCTGCAGAATTCCCAGGAGCCGCTTCCCATGAACTTCGCCTCGTACTTGCTTCGGGGCCTTGACAGGGTTGATGTATAGTGGCTCCTGACCGCCTGCCACACTCTTGGCCGTGAATCGGCGCCAGCTGCCTCCTGGTAGTTGCAGATGCTGGGCGAGGCGGACTGCTCGTGCCACTCCAGCGGGGCCGCCAGGAAGATGAAGGTGAAAGAGCTTACCAGGAGAATCACCGTATAGAGCAGTGTGGGAGGCCTCCAGGCCTGCATCTTTAATCCAATTCGCGAGGGTCACCTCAATCTCGCTGAAAGCTGTGTGTTGGGCGCAACCGATGCGGAAGACGCTGGGGTCAGGATGGCGATCATATTGTGCGAGCCTTGCGAGGTCGATGGCTGTGTCTTGAGCATCTTGGGCTTGGGCCAGGCTCCGCTGCACCGCGTCCAGGTCGTTGCGCAAGCTCTGCTGGCACTGCGTGAGGGAGTCCGTCTTGTTCTGGAGCGCGCGGATGTCCTGATCATGAGCGTCGAGTCGGGCTGCCTGGGGGGCGCATGATCTCCAGCACGGTCTTCTGGATGTCGGAGTGAGCCGCGCCCATGATGGTAGTGACCTCGGTGCGCATGCCGTCGAGCTGCCGCTGGAACGCGTTGGTGACCGCTCTCTCGACGCTCTCGGCCGTGGTGAGCACAGCTGGTGGAGAAGGCTGCCCACGCCAAGGGTCGCCAGCACCGTGTAGAGGATCGGGCCGCCCATTGTTATCCTGGGGTCCGCGATGTTCATGATCAGGAAATGTGGGGGCGATGTCGATGGCAGCAGCAATACGGGCGCGTTCGTCAGGAGGAATGCCGTCCCACGATTCGACCGCACCAGGCCCGCGGTGGCCACCTGAAGAACCAGCACGGGCAGGCTGCCAATGGCGAGCGACTGGCGTAGGCGACGGTCGTGGTGAGCTGGCGGATGATCGGGACGATGACTGATCGCGCCTGCGGTCTCGGTGACGGTCATCACGACGGCGTCGCCGCCGAGGACGTCGGGAGCCTCCACGATCGCTGCGGGAATTGGAGGCTTCATCGCTGGGCATGTATGGAGGATGTGTACTTATTGGTGAACTCTGGGCGTTCGGGCTGGCAGGAACAGGAAATGCCTCCGTTTACCCACCAGCCCGAGCGCGGATCGATGACAAACACTGCCAGACCTCAAGGGTCTTGCCCGCCGCGGACTAGCGGTATCCACTTGTTCCACTCAGGAACATGGGACCTTGAGCCAAAATGGCTTGAGCCGAAATGGCTACGGAAGAGGAGGAGGAGGAGGAGGAGGAGGTGGAGCAGGAGGAAGGAGAAGGATGAGGAGGAGGAGCATGAGGAGGAGGAGGAGGAGGGGGAGGAGAAGGAGGAGGTTCTGTCGCGCTTGCTCTTCGAGGTCCGCTCGCACCACGCGATCCACCGCTGCCAGACCGGGTCGTGCCGCAGGGTCTGGGAGGAGCCGAAGACCACGATCCCGCGGCGGGCGCGGGTGAGCATCACGTTCAGGCGGCGCCAGTCGCCCAGGAAGCCGAGGGTGCCGCGCTGGTTGCACCGCACCGCGCTGAAGATCATAAGTTCCTTCTCACGGCCCTGGAAGGCGTCCACGGACGCGACCTGGGAGGAGAAGAACCCGGCACAAGCAGACGTTCTCGGAGGCCCGCGCGGAGCTCTTGGATCGGCGCTGGGCACCGTTCCCTGGCGCGCTCCCAGCGCTAGGGGCGGCGCCACCAGCGGGGCCTGGTGCGGATCCAAGAGAGCCGCGCGGACCTCTGTCGGGCGGGTGGCCGTGGGGGGTGACTGCAATGGGGGATGGAGAAAGCAGGACCCTTCGGACCCTAAAGGAGCCCTTTCGGACCCCTTCTGGAGCCAGCAGGGGCCTTCGAAGGACCCTAAAGGGCCCCCGGCCCCGTTCCTTCAGCCCTCATCTGGGTCACCCCCCATTACCACCCGCCCGAACCATTGACAAAATCTGTTTCTGCCGTGATCTGTTCTTCGAGACCTCCAAGTTCCGGGGGTCGGTGCCGGGGGGCAGCAGCGGGCGCAGCATCCTCCGGAGGACGCGGACCTGTGCCGCATATGGCGTCACCACCCCGATGTCGCCAATCTGCAGCCCTCCCGCGTCCATCGCCTGGTGCACGACCCTCATGACCTGCTCGGCCTCAGCCGAATTGAGCTTGGAATCGCCCTCGGTCTGCTCCTCCTCCGACACCTCCACGAATGCCACCGGCACCTGGGGGTTGGGCCAGTTGATGCCTTCCGGTATCTTGCGGTCCTTTGCGTCGATGCCGCTCTTAAGCTCGCCGTTGTAGAACTCCTGTCGACTTCGGGGCAACTGGGAGCACTACACTGGGGGGTGAGCTGAGCACACCCAAGTGATCCTGAAGTAAGACTAAGCCAGGACGAGGAGAACATCGGGTGAGGATAAAGCAAGAATCTCTGAGCTCTGGCGGTTCCGCGGCCTTCTCAGAGCGTTCCAGAACGCTCTGGGAGCATCCCGGAACGCTCTGGAACGGATTTGTTCTCGTTCTGGCCCCGTGCCTTGAAGTGCCCCACTCGCTCGCCCCTGAAAGGGAAGACGTGTGCGTGCTCTGGCGTCACAAGAAAACTGTTCCCCTTCGTTCTGGTCCAGCCAGACGGGGAGGCTGGAGGCTGACGGAGGAAGGTGCGGCGATGATGGTGCAGACTAGGATCACGGTCCGGATCAGGATGAGGAGCAAGACGGTTATGAGGGTAGCGTTCCTTCACGCATCTGTATTTGACTATATATGTAGATCTGTGCATGTAGAGGAATACACATAGATATATAGGTATACGAATAGACCGACACGTATAGCTGCACATTCTACGTAATCACGTGTCCACATATATTTATATATTGAGGGATGGGACGGGGATTGGGGACGAGAGTGAGGGTGAGGATAGGAACGGCGACTGGGATTCACATCAGGATGCGGCAGATGAGGGGAGGAAGAGTAGAAGGAGAAGCAGAGAAGGACGAACACGAGGACGGGTACACAAAACATCTTCCGATCTGATTTGATCAACCCGCAACCCTAAGTCTCTGGACCCCATCCCTGATGACAATTTTCCGCCCCGGATCCATTTCTGGTCGCCCCTTGGCCAACAACGCACCCCTGGGGCAGAGATCGCAAGAAAAAACACGGATCGAAAAAGAAACAGATCGTCGGAGATAAGGATACCGCTTCTCCACGGCCCTCTCCTGGCGTGCGTTCTGACCTGGACTTCGACGCGAATCCAGCCGTGGCGACGAGGGAAGCGTACCGCTTGACAGACGGGGGCCAGGACGAGCATCGGGAGCGACGAGGAGCTCTCGCAGCACTCCTCGGACGGCAGACAGCTGGGAGAAAGGCCGCACTCACGTTCTGGTCACCAGATGGGTTCAGCGGGGTCGAGGACGGTGGATCCAGCAAGTGCACTGGATCAGCTCACACTGGCTGCTGTAGTGGAAGTGGCGCCGCTTCCCAACTCGTGGAAACAGAGGCACACAAAGCGGCATAAACATCAACGTTCCAAGGTCCGCGCGAAATTCTTGGATCAGTGCTGGAATTACTGCGCCAAGGGCGGGCCCAAGGCCGGTCCAAGAAATCCGCGCAGACCTCCGAGAAATTATGATGATGCAGCTCATGGCTCTTCGAGGGAAGGGGGCTCCTCGGACGAGAACGCTATGATCTCTGGGGTGCTGCATCGGATCGGGCTGCCTCGGGGCGGAGTCGAAATCGCATCGGGACGGAGTCGAAATCGAATTAGATCGGCTGCGCCATGATGGGCAAGCACAAGGCTGCATCTGATCGCTGGAACATCGGAACCGAGTCGGATCGAGACGGCCGAAATCAATATCGGATCGGATCGTTCGGGTCGAAATAGACACTGGAAGTTGGAGGCGGCCAGGAAGTCTGAACTGGATGAAATCCGCTCAAATTCTGTCCCTGGAGCCCTCCCAAGGTCCATCTGGTGCAGTTTTTCGATCCAGATTCGTTCCTGACAGTCCTGGGGCCAGAGAACGGCCCCCAGGGGCCGAGAAAGGCAAAGCACACCTCCTAGAATCTCGGACCTCGCCCACGCCCTCCTACTGGAGGGAACCAGGGCTGGGCCACCCCAGACCCCTGGAAGGGGACTCCTTCGACGAGAACTTCGTCCGACCGAGTATCCGTACGATTGCGTATCCGTGCCATGCGCGGGACGTGTCCGTGCGACCGCGTATCCGCAGGATCCCGCCCAGAACCCAGTCCGCGAAGGCGCGGATACGGACATGTTCGCCGCTCGTGAGCCGAAGGAGGAGGTGGAGGAGGAGGAGGAGGAGGAGGAGGAGGAGGAGGGCGAGGAGGAGGAGGAGGAGGAAGAGGAGGACAAGAAGGAGGAGGAGAAGGAGGAGGAAGAGAACAAGAAGTAGGAGGAAGAGGAGGAGGGAAAGGAGGAGGAGGAGGAGGTGGAGGAGAAGAAGGGAGAAGGAGGAGGAGGAGGAGGAGGAGGAGGAAGCGGCAGCGTGCGGAGCACTCATGCCATCAGGAAACAGGAAACAGGAGGAGGAGGCGGAGCAGAAGGGGAAGGAGGAGGAGGAGGAAGAACTCCTCGGACGAGAACTCCATGATCTTTGGGTTGCTGCGGTACTGCGTATCCAGGAACGCCGGCTCGACGCCCGCGCGCTGCAGCCGGCTGTAGATGGAGAGGGAGAGGCCCCTCATCTCCGCCTCCTAGTTTCGGGGCGGGGGGGCAGCCATGTGAAGAGGAGGGGGGGGGAGGACGAGGCAGGAGGAGGAGGAGGAGGCAGGAGGAGGAGGAGGAGGAGAGGCGGGAGGATGAGGAGGATCAAGAGGAGGAGGAAGGAGAAGAGGAGGAGGAGGAGGAGCAGGAGAAGGAGGAGGATGAGGAGGCGGCGGCGGAGGATTCGGCTTTCCAGGTCTGGCAGGTGGACCCCGATCGGGATGCAGAGCGAATCACCAACTGGCAGGCGCACGTCCGCTGGGGTCCGCTCGTCAAGGCTGCTGGGGGTCTGCTGGTAAACTCCACGCGGCTTGACCGGCCCCTGGGCAGAGTACGGACGCGAGCTCGGGGGCCCCGTGGCTCGTGACGCTGCCTGGGGCGCGCCTCCCCTCCCAGCGTTCCTGGGGGTGGCGCTGCCCCCCTTGGCGGTAGACCCGGGTTGGGTGCCAAGAAGCCCGTTCCTCGAATTCCTACAGTCCTGCCACGAAATGTCCTGAGAACCCCCAAATGTTCAAAGAACAAGAACAATGTCCTTAGAACATAAGCCCGATGTGTTCAAACAAGACAGGCTCCGCCAGACATGTTCTAAGAACATGTCGTGGAAACCACCAGAAGGTTCTGAGAACATTGTTTGGTAGGGCTATGGGCATATGAAACAGCAAACAAGAACAATCAAATATTGTGGGAAGCCACCCTCAAGGTGCTCAGCCAAAGAAGGTCGCCCACGCAGGACGAGATGACGAACCCACGCCAGAAGATATGATGATGCTGATGATGGTGATGGTGGTGATGATGTTAATGATGATGATGATGATGATGATGATGATGATGATGATGATGTTGACGATGGTAATGACTATGATGATGCGGATGGTGGTGATGATCCTGATGGTGATGATGCTGATGATGATGATAATAATGATGATGATGTTCTTGATGATGCTGATGATGATTGTGATGGTGATGATGCTGATGATGATGACGATGGCGATGACGCTGACGATTGCGATGATGAGGATGATGCTGATGATGTTGATGATGAGTTAGTGCATTAATCAATGAATGCGTGGATGAATTAATGAATACATGAATGGCTGAACGAATGATGATGGTGGTGATGGTGATGATGGTGATGATGGTGATGATGATGCGGAGGAGGAGAAGGAGGAGGATGAGTCCAGACAACCTCGAGGTTCAAAATTTTCAGACGTTTCGTTTGCTCTCGGCTGCCTTCCAGCCTCGGGATAACCGTGAGAAACAATCAAGAGCCCCCTCGGCGTTATCAGCTCACACGAATTACCCGTCGGTAGGAAGTGGGTAGAAGCATGAAGTAGGAAGGCGTTGGAAGTCGATTGGACTTCCGCCCGCCCCCTGAAGGTGACAGAAAAGGTGAAACCACTCGGCCATTCAAGTAGGAAAATGCATAAAGTGGATTGGGATCCGGAACTCCCCAAATAATTATGCACAATGACCGATGGGTAATTAAACCTTGATTGATTGATTGATTACTCGAAAAATGAATTCGTCAATTCCGCCGGGGGGGGGCAGGGTGAGTGAGAGTAGGAGAGGAATCCTTATTGCGCAGATCCCGCACTGAGTAGAAGTGGAATCCTGTTAGGATCTTGGTGGGATCCCGCGCTGAAGGGTCCAGAGGCGGAGTATCACTTCCAGGGGCCGAGAGGCGACATGAAGGGGAGGGTCTGAATTGCTTCTCGAGGTTAATTTCCAGCGGCTGCACCTTGCCGAGGGCGTCCTGGGGGAGCTAGAACCGTCCAACACGACCGCTGCAGATCCGACTTATGATCCGACAGCCGAAAACCCTGGCGCCTCGAAAAAAACACGACGGGAGGATTGTGTCCGTTTGCGGACCTGGACGGCCATCGCCGGGCCCCGGGCCGTCAAGAGGAACGACTCGGGACGAAGAGCCGGTCCCCAGGAAGAGGTCCGGACCTCTTGGGAGCCACGTTGACCCCCGCCCCTCACAAACAAAAAACTGCGTCGGATGTCTAGGAATGGGGGCCTCTGGCAACTGCGCTGATGTGCCTACCCTGCTATTTTCGGTGCGGGCTGCATCCACGCGGCCTCGGCCTCAGGCGCGCGGTGGCGGGGCGAGGAGAAGGACGAGAAGGAGGAGAAAAGGGGAGGAGGAGAGGGAGGACGACGAGGAGGTGGAGGAGAAAGAGGACGAGGAGGAGGAGGACCACTGGAAACCCAAGAGACATCAACGATGTTAGAAATCACCCGCCCTCCAAGCTCCCTCTTCATAGGCCCCTACAACGGTTCATTTCCATTGAGGGAACTGCCTCGTTGGAAGGCAACAGTTTGAAGATCCTGGAGCGTGCCAAAACATTGTTCTCAGGTTGTCAACGCCACGTATCAACTTGATTGCTGCGTCTTGACGATCCAGAATCGTGTCAGAAATCCATTTTTGGGACTGCAACACAACGAATCAATATAACGGATGCGCCCGCATAATTCTGAATCCTTCCAAAATGCCACTTCTGGTGCGTTGATCGTGGGAATCCGTGAAACTCTTGCAATTTGCTAAACGAATGTGCGCGGCACTACAGCGAGAGCCACATTTTGAAAACCACCCGCCCTCAATCCGTGAAGCTCATGAAATATTTTACAACAAATGTGCGCGGCGCTGGGGCGGGAACCACATTTTGAAAACCATCCGCCCTCAATCCGTGAAGCTCTTGCAAAAGATTTAAACGAGTGTGCGCGGCGCTAGGGTGATAGCCACATTTTGAAAACCACCCGCCCCCAATCCGTGAAATTCTTGCAATGTTTAAGGCGAGTGTGCGCGGCGCTGAAGCGAAAACCACACTGTGAAAACCACCCGCCCTCAATCCGTGAAGCTCTTGCGAGTGATTTACACGAATGTGCGCGGCGCTAAGGCGAGAACCACATTTTGAAAACCACCCGCCCTCAATCCGTGGAGCTCTTGCGAATTGTTTAAATGAGTGTGCGCGGCGTTAAGGCGATAGCCACATTTTGATTCCAGGATGGGCGTCTGGTGGGGGTGTCGGAGACAGCTGTCGTTTTCCAAGCAAGAGGGTGTTGGACACTGCCAGCTCGGTCTTGAAATGCAAAAATGCGTGTCGCGAAACGCCCTGCGCACGCAGGTCAGGCCACAATATTATTCGAACTGAAATGCAATCCCCCATGAGTTAAAGGGCGGGGTTGAGGGAGCCAGAAAGGACTACATAATGGAAGCACACCCTCACGACGATCAACCATCTGAGGAACCAACCACCAGCAAGCAGTTATATGATTCCAGGAGGGGCATCTGGCGGACGTGTCGGAGACAGCTGTCGTTGTCCAAGCAAGAGGGCGTTGGGCACTGCCAGCTCGGTCTTGAAATGCAAAATGCGCGTCACGAAACGCCCTGCGCACGCAGGCCAGCCCACAATAGTATTCGAACTGAAATGCGATCCCATAGGAAGACCCATAAGAGGGATGTGAACGGGAGGCGGTGGGAACAGGGTGGCAGACATAACGACAACACACGAGAGTGGCAACTCAAAGCCGCTTCGGGCGGACAGCTGCTTCAACCGATTGAGAGCAAGCTGAATCTAGCCTGGCTTATCCTAGCGACAAGCCGAATCAAGGCACTACGCGCTGGCATGCGACTGACTTTCACTCAAAGTGCGGCGTTCATTGGCGCCACCATCGTATACCAACGCTGCAACGCAGCCCCCTCCGACATCCCTGGCGCCACCAGAGCGCCCACCTCAACACGAGGAGGCCCCCTCAGGACGGAAGGGCCCCGAAAGAACACGGCCCTGCTGTGGACGGCCGTGGACCACGCGCCGTCGTAGACCAGGCGGGCGCAGATGCCCGACTTCACCCCGGACGGCAGCGGCCTCTTGCTGGCAGGCGGAGGTCGCCTTCGGCATCCTTTGAGCGCCCGTTGGGGTCGAGGGTTTTGCCGCACCTCTGCCGAGAGCGTGCTGCGCAGCAAGCCGCACCCCGTCTTCTCGGCGTGCTTGAGCTTCACGTTGACGGCTAGTAGCTCCTTCAGGTAGTCGAGCAGGCTCACCTCGATCGCGTCGAGGTTGTCGGTGGTTCTGCCGCGGTGCCGCCGCCACTCGCGGGACATGTTCTCGAAGCACTGGTAGGCGGCCAAGCCACTGACGCCGACCGTCGCGGGCTCGCAGGCGCCGAGTTCCCCGTTCGCGGCCTGCCGCCCAAGACTCGTAGGCGGCGGCCGCGTGGCAGGAGAGGGGCCCTCGGCGGGTCTCCGCCGAGTGGCGCCGTGCCGACGGGCGAGTCCGCTGGCGGAGCGGCCCGCGCGCCCGCCCTCCCGTCGGGCCCCGGCGGCCCCGCAGGAAGTCGATGGCCCGGCTGCTGCTTGGCGGGCCGTCAAGCTCCGCTCCCACCGCGGGCACCTCATACAGCCTCGCCCGCGCCTCTTTGAGCTTCTCGAAGAGGCGGGGCGGCTCGTCGGCGGGGTTGTACTCGCTTGGAATCCAGCGGAGCGCCACCCATGCGCCCGCGGCAATCGAGAGGGCAGCCAGGCGGCGGACCAGTTGCAGGAGCCCGGCGGAGGCCGCGCGCCCCCCTGAGAAACACAAGGATACGCCGAAGTTGTCGACAAGGACGAGGTGCCTCTTGTGGTGCTGGCAGGGGCCCAGGAGCTTAAGACTCATACCTTTGATGACGGCCCTACCCTCCCTGTTACCGATTGGCTCCTCAAGCCTGTACCTCCCCGCCCCCGGCGCTTCCAGGGGCGCCCCGGGATTGCGGCCTTCGGAATCTCAGGAAAGCCCGCTCGAGGCCGCCAGGCGATGTCCGAGGGGGCCCCGCCGAGCTCGTCGAGGTCCCAAGGGCCCAAGCGGACGTCGCAGGGTCGACGAGGGGGTCGAGCTCGGCCGCCAGTGCACGCCGACGCGGCGTCCACCCCAGCGGGGGCAGACGCTCGTACCTCCAGCGCTCGTTCCACCCCCCGATCTCCTTCACCTCCTTACTGTCGAAGCCAGCCTCCATCACGCCCCACCCACTCCCCGAGGCGTCAGTCGCCAGCACTGAAGTAGACCAGGGACGTCCAAAGTTGCCCGAGGGCAGGGGGGCCTGGCTGGAGCAGACCAGGAGCTCACGGCAGACAGGGTCCCACAGGGGCCTCGGTGTCCAGTAACAATCCCGAATGAAGACGTAGGAGGCCCGCAGGACCGACAGCGCGGGCCGCTGGTTGAGGGCTTCGACGACGTAGTGGCCCAGGAGGCGCTCCAGAGTCTTCCCAGAGATCGATCCACCTCGAGCGGCATGCCGAAGAGCACCTCGAAGGGTCCAGGCCCGCTTGGGCCTCGCACGCACCGTCCGTCGGACCCCGCCAAAGGCGGTACCCAGGATATCCGAAGATGTGGAGGCCCAGGAGATCTCGTGAAGCACGACGCCCTTGCCCGTCGAACACCCCGATGAGCTTCCGAAGTCGCTGGTTGACGCGCTCCCTGGGCATCCCGAAGACAGCGAGGTTGTCGCAGTAGGGTCGGGCCAACGGAGGGGCGGGCCAAGCATTCGACATTATCAGCTCCTGGCCGAACACAACCTCACGGAGCAACTCGGCATGCAGTGCCTGAGCGATGTAGAACGACCAGGCCCACCCTATCGGCAGCACAAGCAAGCGCGGGAAGACCTCTCCGACATCTGGCAATGACAACCCCCATACGTCCGAAGTCGCCCCCCCCCCCCCCCCCCCCACGCACACACACCACGCACGCGCGCGCTGTTTTGCAAGGCTGGCGTCCACGGCTTCGAAGCTGAAGTATTCGCTCAGCGCAGACGGTACCCCACACTGGTAGAAGCAATTCTGCATGTCGCCCGTGGCGACGAAGACAGGCGACACCTCGTCTGGCGCCTCGAGCCCATGCATGTTCTCGGCCGAACTCATCTCAGGCTTAGGGGGGTGAGGGAACATCTGGTTGACCCTTCGGCAGTCCAGGGCGAGCGGTTAACGGCCCTGTTTCTTTCTCACGAGGAGAAATGTAATCTTGCCCTTCGAGGTCTTGCTGAACCCCAAGATCCCACAGTCATATAGGCTCCTGGGAACTTGAGACGAACATCTTCATCACCTCTGATTCGGGCGTCCGTGTAGGACCCGACGGGCTCGTGGCGAAGACGATGCTCGGCCACGTCGGCATCGGCCAGGACGTTGTCAAGGTCGAGGCTACGGCCGAGCTCGGGGGAGACAAGATCAGTCAAGACGACGGGCGACACCTGCCCCTCTGGCAGGGACACCTTCGTCGGGTCATAGGGCTCGACCGCGCATGCAAGCATCTCGTAATCTGCATTCACTCCAGCCAACTCACGAAAAGAGGCGTGGTCACTTTGTACATGGTCGGGCATGCCCGAAGCGATGGTGGAGAACAGGTGCTGGTGAATGGCGCTATGCACAGGGCTGCAGCCGCCCACAGCCTCAGCCCCGTCACGCTGCGTCGGCACCAACAGCTCCTGCGGGTCGCACCCAAAGAGCAAGTTCAGGCCGTCGACCGCCTCCTGCGCCGCCGACTGGACGGCGTTCCAGCGCTTGAAGTGCAACCGGGCCTTCCTCCCCGTACCGGTGCCAGGACGCTGAGCACGAGGAACATCAGGAAGGGGAAAGAGACCGCGGCCACACCGACCCCCTGCTGCTTCTTGCCGTCGGCGAGGCCATGCCTCAGGACGACGCACTTCAAAATTGCGGTCGGAGGAGACCCCTCAGACCTCACGCCAGCCATCATGTCAGAGACGGGGACGACTACTGGCACCACCGCCCCCGCTCTCTTCTTCATTTCGTGGAGGAGGCCGAGGGGTCTGCCTTGGCGGTCACGACCGTGACGCCCGCTCCCCTGGCCTCCGATGCCTTCCGCTTCTCCTTCAGAATCACTGCCTCTACGCTGAGCTCGGTGGCGGCGTGGGCCCAGAGCGAAGACACCGTCTGGGCCCCCCCCGAACGCTCGTCGATCCCCAGGTAGCAGTCCGACACCTCGTAGCCCTGCGACTCGAGATTCCCTGCCGCGGCCTCCCCATGCTCGGGGATCAGCCTCAGGAGGAGCTCGCCATCGATAAGGTTCTTCACGTTAACCCCGTCCACCGCCGCCACGAGCAGCACCGCCCCTCGGAGGACCGCGTCCTCCTCCCATGGGCACGCTGTCAATGGGCGCGCGGCGTCGACCAGGGTCCGCTCCGTCGGGGACCGCGCCAGGATACTCGGGTCATCACAGAGAGAGCTGCTCTGCGCCAGGCCCCAGCGAGTGAGGTCAGCCCCCACACTCAGCTGCTCGAGCACGGCGACGCCCCCGTCGATCTCCTCGAGGCCGCGGGACCTTAGCCCCACAGCCTCCGCAGGCAGCGGGGACTCCTCGCCGATGTCGTGGCCCCCGAGCGGCTCCGCGACGACCCACACCCCGCCTGTCGGGGCGAAACGGGTGGCCCCAGGCGCAGGGCCCATGGCGGGCACGGGCGTCCCCTCCACGGCGATGGCTCCTGGTGCTCGGGCCGCCTCGCCCTCCAGCGGGAAGCCGCGGTGAGCCCGCTCCAGGTTGATCACCTGGTCCGCCTCTGCCGACAGCTCGTCGACCCTGGCGGGCATGAGCGGCGCGAAAGTGTAGAGCACACTGTCCAGAGCGGGGACCCCTCGCGGCCACACGTCGACCGAACACGAGAAACGGATCCCCTCCAAACCGCCGTTGTTGAGACTCAGCTCCACCTCGCGGACGTCGAAGTCGGGCGACACGGCCGCAAGCTCACCGCACTCGACGAGGGAGCCGACGAGCCTACCGTCTAGCCCGCCAGCGCCGTAGTGCACCCCAGCGGCCGATCCACGACCTGCCACGGCAGAGTCAGTGAACGAGACCCCGTCGCCCCAGTGGAAGTCGACCCTGGCCGCCTCCAGCTCCGCACTCAGCTCCTGGGCCAGCGAGGGGGCGGGTGGCGCCGCGGCCGCAGGACAACCCCGTGCTGGCGGGGCGGGTTCCCGCGTCCCCACGGATGACGACAGGGACAGGCCTCGCTGCACACGGGCGACCGCCTCCAACTGCCTGGGCCAGGCCGGGCCAACGTGGAAGACCAGGGACACCACACCCTGGGCCGCCGCGCGCATCCACTACCCTGGAGGCCGCAAAGGTCGGTGGCTCAGCCAGAAAGGACTACAGAGCGGAAACACACCCTCACGACGCTCAACCCTCTGAGGAATCAACCACCAGCAAGCAATTATATGAAAATCACCTGCCCTCAATCCGTGAAACTCTTGCAATGTTTTAACCCGAGTGCGCGCGGCGCTAAGGCGAGAGGCACATTCTGAACGCGACCCGCCCTTCATCTGTTAAACTGCCGCTACCTTTTTAGCTTCAGAATCATAACTAGGTGAGGACGTCTCAGGCGAAACGCCCGGCCCGCCCTAAAAACTGGCCTCGGGGTGCGACAGGAAAAGAGCAGGGATGGACGACGACAAGGAGGAAAGGGAAGGAAGACGAGGAGGAGGAGAAAAAGGAGGAGGAGAGGCGACAAGGGTATCATTGAATGAGGGGGGTCATGAGGAGGAGGCGGCGGCGAACGACAAACGGCGAACCAGGAAGGGGAGGAAAAAGGAGCAGGAGGATGAGGATCATGGAAGACGACTGCTTATCTAGGAGGCCCCCCAGATGGGGTCTGAATAGATGGGGTCGGAGGATCGCGCCGCATCGCTAATGCATCGACGACGTCGGCGTGGAGAAAATCGGGTTCCGCATTGAGCCGCATCGCCGATGCATCGGCGATGCGGCGCAATCCTCTGACCCCATCTACTCCGACCCCATCTGGGAGGCCTCGATTATCGTTTTATCGTGTTCCCGCGTACCCCTTGGCGACTGCCCCTGAGTCCGACCTGAAGGAGAGAGCACGCAGAACGGAGTGAGGAGGCATGGGGGCATGACCAGGTGAGGGGAGGAGGTGGGGGGGAGAAGGATAGGGAGAAGGAGGAGGGGGAAGAGGAGGAGGATGTGCTTACATACGAAAAATCGCCCCCCCCACCCATCCCCCGCTAGCACTGCCCAAGCCACCCAGCCATGAATGGCCACCGCAACACTGTGATCGGGAAATCGAGCGCGCTCGTACTCCGCGTTTGTGGAGCAAAAGGCAGCGCGCCCGTAAGTCGACCCCCCAGCGTTGCAAAATGATCACAGAGCTCGGGCGTTCAGTGGGCCGCTTCAGCCCCTCCTGCTGGCGCCTCGAGACCGAGCTTCGAGCCTGCGCGCGCGGGAAGAGAAGCAGGATGAGCTCTGAAGGGAGACTGGGAGACGAGCCTCAGGAGGCGGCGGATGGGGGGGCGGGAGAGAGCGAAAGAGTCTCAGCCCGCTCGTGAGGTGTGTGGGTGTGTGTGTGTGGGGGGGGGGGCATCCCAGAAATCCTGAACCCCATGATCTGTTAACGTCTCGCCTTTTGCTTCCGCCGCCTTCCGCTAGCCTTCCGCGGGTGGACCGGCCGACATTTTACTTCTGCCGGCTTCCACTGGCCTTCAGCCAGCCCTCTGCCTGCTTCCGTCGAGGGAAAGCCGCGCCGAAAGCGATGTCCTTTCTGGAACGCCTCAGGTTGAGAGGGTCTGTTTCCCCTGACATCTGACGTCGTGTTTTTGTTCCCAACGTGGCTCCCCAGAGGTTCGTACCTCCTCTCAGGGACAGGTTTTTCGTACCGAATCGCTTGTAGACTGTCCTGAGACCCAGCGAAGGTCCTGGGAGGCCGACAATGCTTAACATAAAAAAACCGCGCGTCGCGATTTTCCACGACGAGAGGATGTCTGGCTTTCAAACTCACGTCTCGGGCCTCCGGTGACCGTTCGGGACGATCTGGGCATCTCAAGGATGCCCTCAGCAAGGCGCAGCTGCAGGAAGGCACCCCGAGTTTATAAAACCTTCGGGAACCTACGAGAACGGCAAGAACCTAGACTTGAGCGCGTTTCGATATTGTCGGCAATCATGGGCATTATAGGGGGGGAAAGGCAAGGGGGGGGGGAAATGTAACGCCTCCCCCCCGCCGTGCGCACGGCGGCAGGGCCCGGAGCGCACTGGGGGGGAGGGGCGTTACGTTATGGGGGCGGGGGGGGGCGGGGGGGGGAGGGGGAGCGGTCGGGGGCTATGATGCCCATTCTGCCCCAAGCAGTACAAAACCACCCTCCCTCGAACCTTGGACTTTGTCCGTTCGTTCATTCGTCTCGTCCCCCCGTCCTTCGAGGCGATGCCAGGAGGCAGCTGGCAGTGGTCGCCGACGAGCACGAGCCGGCGGAGGGCCGCGCCGCCGCGCAGCACCACGGGCACCACGACGGACAGCTCAGTGGCCTGGGCGACCTCGTCGACCAGAATGCCTGCGAAGTTGATCCTGCAGGTGGGGGTCCAAAATCCTCAGATTACGGCGTCTCAACTTTTTCGAGACGGGCGTTTGTCGTCCTATTTCAGACCGCGGGACCCTCGCAGATCGATCTGGCTCGACAGCATGGCACAGAAAGGGTGGGTCAGGGGGTCTGGTCGTGATTTTTCACGATGGTGCAATTTTGTTCTCATGACGTCGGATCTTAAGAAAGGACGCTTGGCGGCAGGCGCGAATATCTAATTAGCCGACTGAGAACCCACTCAACCAAACTACCCCAAATTAGGCCTGGGATGAAGCCTGGAGGAAGCGGAATTGAAGCGGATTTGATGGGCTCAAGCCGATTCTCGATCGCAGGTATACCAGCGCCGACGCTGAACTCAACCTCCCAGGAGCTGCACCCTAACAAGTGGAGACCCCAAACAGGACGTACGCGCTAAGTCGGACGTCTGGGATGGAGCGAGAGAGCCGCTCCTGTTCAGGAACTCCCCGCCGGCGCTGATCGTCGTGGTGCAGACGACTTCCGCCTCCCTGATGATCTTCATCTGGAGCTCGAAGTTGTCGCGCTTGGCCTGGCGGCGCTGCTCGTGCTCCATCTCCAGGTCCACGCCCTCGAGGGACTTGCCTGGGGAGGACCTCGTCCCGATTCGCCCCGCGCAGCAATCCCCCCCCTTCCTCCTCTTCTCTCAGCTCACTCCTGCCCCCGTTCGCTTCCTCGCGCTGGAACGAAGGAGGAGAAGGGACAGAAACGGGAAAGGAGGGGGGACTGCCCAGAGATCTGGCGGCGCGATGTTCTCGAGACATGGGCTCCTGGGCCTCTCGACCCGCGTCCCCACAGGGCCGGCTTTTTCCGCCCCGAGTCCTCCCCCGCACAGCCCGAAACCAGCCCCCAGAGGCCTTGACCGGGGACAGACCGGCCGACCCGATTCGCGTTCCCGGGCCCCGGAGGTCTGAGTGCGGCCCCGGGGTGCGACGAGCGCCCCCATGGCCGCCTTTGCCCTTGCCCTTGCCCTTGCCCTTGCCCTTCTGGCCGCCCTTGCCACACGGCGCTGCCCCGGAGGTGGCCGCCGCCGCGGGCCTGGCAGAGCCTCTCCTCGGCCCGCTGCGGCCGCCGCGGCTGCGGCCGCTGCGGCTGCTGCCGCTGCGGGAGTAGCTGCCGCTGCTGCTGCCGCTCCGGCTCGCCCCGCCAGAGGGCCTCCTCCGGCCGCTCGCGCGGGCCCGCTGGCGGCTCCGGTCCCGCTGCTCGTCCCGGCTCGCCTGCTCGTCCCGGCTCTTCGCCTCCTTGGCGGCCTCCTCCAGGGCCTTCAGCTCCTTGGCCTTCCAGACCTTGGCCTCGAGCGTGATCTCCTCTAGGACACCCCGCACCTTCTCTGGGCGCCCCAGGCGCACGGCCGAGACGCCCACGCCGTGGAGACCAGCGGCGATGTTGTCCACGGCGATGTTGCTGTCGGAGGCCGCCAGCAGCGGGCTCATGCCCAAGGACTTCGACCAGATTCGCAAGACCTGCACCGACACGTGCGTCTTCCCAGTTCCTGGGGAATCCAAGAAGTACCAACACCGCGACTCCCTGGAACTCTCTGACCTGAATTCCAGGGCGAATCCATCCGTGGCGGCGAGAACTCTCCAGGACGAGCAGCGATATCGGTACCTTTCCCCCTCTAAGTTCCAGGGGGGCCCTGGATGATGGTGCACGTGCGGTTGACCGCCGCCTGTACTGCCTCACGCTGCGACCGGTTCAGGTTCAGCCCCGCTATCTCGGCCTTGGCCTTCTCCATCTTCGCCTCGTCGCTGCGTGGCGGCAGCGCCGCTGCCAGCTGTGCGGCCTTTGACGTGGCTTCGGGCAGGAGGTGCCAGCCATACAAAGCATGGACGCTGTGGCAGTCAGCGGAAGGCATCTGTTTGGCGGAGGAGGGTCTCTAGCAGCATTAACTGGATCCCGATTCAACTCTCACCCCCTCTTCTGAACAGAAGAGCGCGTCAATCTTCAGCGTTTCCTACCCTGACAGATCCGCCAATCCTGTCTGCGTGTGTGAAGGAGTCCTGGGGTGGTCGTCACGGGGTGGTCCTGGGAGACGCTTCTCCATTCGAAGCTTTCCCCCTTTGCTGCAGCCCTCCTATGGCCCCGCCAAGCCCGCCAGCCCGAAGAGAATCGAAATGCGTCATAACCGAGTCGGCATGAAGCTCCTTCTACTGTCGGACCGGGGACAAAAGAACATCCTTCAAGAACATGAGACCCTCCGCCAGCCCAAACTGAAGAACATTCGAGGGTGCCCTCCCCCAGGATGCACAAAAACATCCAACAAACACAAAGAACATTGGGGTACCCTCCCCGAGCCGACCTCGATATTATACCTCGGGCCGACCGTATTTGATCACATCCCCGCAGGAGGGGGAGGGGGATCACGTGGGTGGATTTGTGGGCGGACCTGGAGACTCGGGCGATCTCGGGACCAAATTGGCAATCTTTGGTACAGCTTGGCCCGCTAGAGCCCTCTCGGGGCCAATCTCGTCCAAGTTCGGCACTCTTGCGAGTCTCAAGGGCCGCCTTGGAGGCCATGGGGTAAATCCCAAGAGGCACACCTCTGCTGAATCCCATTGGTTTTTGTGTGATGGTAATACTCGCGCCGCATGGGTCGCAAGAGCGCCTAAGGCGGCCTAAGACGCACCCCGATGAAGGGCCAAGATGGCCCAAGAGGCCCCCAAGAGGGCCCCAAGAGGAAGCACCAAAAACGCAACCGTCGCACAGCTGGAAGCCAATCCCTCCGACAGGATCCCAAGACTTCGAAAAGGCCCGCCAGAGGCCCTGAGATACCCCCAAACGCACCCAAGTGGGCCACAAAGGCCCCGGGAGCTAGAAGTCCCCCAGGAGCCACATAGCCCCCAAAATGTTACAAAAAGCCTTTGGAACACGACCCAGGCGCGGTGGCGGGATTGGCCGAATGCCATCAGGTACACCGCCCCCTGTCGATTCATCGCAGGGGTGCCTGGCTTGCTAGACCCTCTCGGTTTTGGTTTCGGTTCTTTTTCCAAAAGAACTCTCCCAGTGGGCTCCGGCGCGTCCCGCCGGGGCCGCGGAAGGCCCGGAAACGAGCTCAACGACCGCAAAAAATCCTCCAAGATGGCTCGAGATGGCCTCCCAGACGGCCAAGATGGCCTCCAAGACGGCTCAGATGTCCCCAAGATGCCGCCAAAACGGCCCAAGATACACCCAAGACGGCCGTAGATGGTGTCAAGATGGCCCACGACTGCCCAAGAGTCCCCCCAGAGGCCCCGAAGACGGCCCAAGAGCTCTCCAAGAGGGCCTCCAGGAGGGCCCGAAGAGGCCAAAATCTTTGATTTTCCGAAAGGGTTTTGAAGGATTTTGGAATTTGCTTCTTCTCGGCATTCCGACGGGTCAAGACGGCCCAAGAGGCCCCCAAGATCGCCCAAGAGGCCCCCAAGAGGGCCCCATGCCGGCCCAAGTGGCCTCCAAGATGGCCCCAAGAGGGCCCCAAGACGGCCCAAGAGGCCTCCAACACGCCCAAGATGGCCTCCAAGACGCCCAAGATGGCCTCCAAGACGGCCCCGAAGCGCCCCAAGATGGTCCCCCGTTGGCCCAGAAAGGCTCCCAAGACGGCCCCCGACGGCGTCAGACGTGCCAGGAACCCACCAAGATGGCCGAAGTTAGCTCGAAGCTAGCCCAAGACGGCCCAAGAGGCCCCCAAGAGGGCCTCCAGGAAGGCCAGAAGAGGCCAAAAACATAGATGTTCCTGAGGTTCTTGACGGATTTTGACATTTCCTTCTGTTCGGCCTTCCGACGGCCCGAGATGGCCCAAGAGCCCCCAAAGATCGCCCAAGAGGCCTCCAAGACGGCTAAGATGATCTTCAAGATGCCCACGTGTTCCCCGAAGGCTTTCCAAACCGATTCGGGGAACACATGGTCCGATGGTTCGGCAGGTCTGGCCTCAACGTTCGGCCACATAGGCGCTTCCAAAAAGGCAGGGGGCGGCGGTGATTCGACGTAGGCGTCTTAGATCCGCGCCCTCGCATGAGGGCCGCGGCCGCCCCTTGGCCCCCGTCCTTCTTCCGCCTCTGGCGCCCACTCTGTTCCCTCCTCGGGGTCGGCGGAACCCGCTGTGCACAACCGGGCGACGTCAGTTCACCAACTCACCGATCCTGCCCAGGCTCATCCTGGGTCCAGGATGAGCCAAGTTAGGACCGGGCAGGTGGTCAATTGGGCGACGAAAAAACGAGTCTAACGCACGAAAACATAGTCACCTTGCGCGGTGGCTTACGCGGGCCGCCAGCGCGGCAAACTAGATTGAAACCCAGGGCACTCACGCACCATCTTACGCGGGCAGCTTGCGCGCGAGTGTCCGCGAAGTCGAGCCCGTGTTCTTCTGTCGCTCAGATGACGCCAGGCGGTGTGAGGCCCCTGCTGGAGGTGTCCAGAGCAGGACAGGCCCGCCAAAGGAGGCACCACTGCGCGGGGGCAGCGGGTGGGCCCCAGGGTGCCAAGATCTGTCCTCGGTGGGGAGAGCACCCGGACGTGCGATGCCTGTTCTTTCAGCGAGGCGCCCTGGCATCGCAACTTTCTCGCGCCGGGCGAGTTCGCCACCAGGGAACCTCACAAATCGATCCGGCTCGAAACATGGCTCCGAAGGATTGGGACCCAGAGCCCGGGCGTCAAGCTTCTCATTCGGAACCGTTTCTTAACGGTCCCGACGCCCGGTAAGGGCCCCTCGAGGCCGAGAATAGTAAAGAGTCTCCCGTCATGATTTTTCCCAACCATCCTGTGGTGTTGGGTCCTCGTTTTGAAGAGACGGTGGCCCGCGTCTCTTCCTCTCCTCCTCTCTTCCTCTCCTCCTCCTCCCCCTCTTCCTCCGCACACCCATTTCGGCACACCCCTCACACGCTTCGTGGCCCCATAGGGAGCTCCGCCGAATGTCCCAGTGGGTGTGCCCGCACGCGTCCCGCACACCTATTTCGGCACACCCCTCACACGTTTCGTGGCCCCATAAGGAGCTCCACCGAAGGTCCCAGTGGGTGTGCCCGCATGCGTCCCGCACGCCCATTTCGGCACACCCCGCACACGTTTCGTGGCCCCATAGGGAGCTCCACCGAAGGTCCCAGTGGGTGTGCCCGCATGCGTCCCGCACACCCATTTCGTCACACCATTCACATATTTCGTGGCCTCATAGGGAACCCCACCGAAGGTCCCAGTGGGTGTGCCCGCATGCGTCCCGCACGCCCATTTCGGCACACCCCTCACACGCTTCGTGGCCCCATAGGGAGCTCCACCGAAGGTCCCAGTGGGTGTGCCCGCATGCGTCCCGCACGCCCATGCATGTCGGCACACCCCTCACACGCTTCGTGGCCTTATGGGGAGCTCCACCGAAGGTCCCACGTTTCGTGGCCCCATGGGGAGCTCCACCGAAGGTCCCAGTGGGTGTGCCCGCATGCGTCCCGCACACCCATGTCATCACACCCCTCATACGTTTCGTGGCCCCATAGGGGAGCTCCACCGAAGGTCCCAGTGGGTGTGCCCGCATGCGTCCCGCACACCCATTTCGGCACACCCCTCACACGTTTCGTGGCCCCATAGGGAGCTCCACCGAAGGTGGGTGTGCCCGCATGCGTCCCGCACACCCATTTCGGCACAGTGGCCCCATTCCATGTGGATGTGCCCGCATGCGTCCCGCACACCCAGTACGGCACACCCCTCACACGTGGCCCCACTCCACCGAAGGTCCCAGTGGGTGTGCCCGCATGCGTCCCGCACGCCCATGTCGGCACACCCCTCACACGCTTCGTGGCCCCATAGGTAGGAAGGTCCCAGTGGGTGTGCCCGCATGCGTCCCGCACGCCCATGTCGGCACACCCCTCACACGTTCGTGGCCCCATAGGGAGCTCCACCGAAGGTCCCAGTGGGTGTGCCCGCATGCGTCCCGCGCACCCATGTCGGCACACCCCTCACACGCTTCGTGGCCCCATAGGGAGCTCCACCGAAAGTCCCAGTGGGTGTGCCCGCATGCGTCCCGTACACCCATGTCGGCACACGCCTCGCACGCTTCGTGGCCCCATAGGGAGCTCCACAGAAGGTCCCAGTGGGTGTGCCCGCATGCGTCCCGCACACCCATTTTGGCACACCCCTCACACGTTTCGTGGCCCCATGGGGAGCTCCACCGAAGGTCCCAGTGGATGTGCCCGCATGCGTCCCGCACACCCAGTACGGCACACCCCATCACACGCTTCGTGGCCCCATAAGGAACTCCACCGAAGGTCCCAGTGGGTGTGCCCGCATGCGTCCCGCACGCCCATGTCGGCACACCCCTCACACGTTTCGTGGCCCCATGGGGAGCTCCACCGAAGGTCCGAGCGGGTGCGCCCGCATTCGTCCCGCACACCCATTTCGGCACACCCTTCACGCGCTTCGTGGCCCCATATGGGAGCTCCACCGAAGGTCCCCGTGGCGCAATCCGCACGCGTCTCCACCACCCAGTACACCTCCGTCGGAGGCCGTCGGGGTTCCGCGCCTCCCTCGCCCGTCGTCGCTCTGCCCTGCGGCAAGAGCCTTGCCCGCTATCAGCCAGCCAGCTAGCTCTCTTTGCTTCGCGCAGCGGACGACCCGCGCGCGTCGCTGGGGCCCCTCTGGGGCGACCTGCGCGCGTCGCTGGGACTCCGCGCTGCGCTGCGCCCGCAGCTTTGGACTTTGAGTGCGCGGGCAAAGAGGGAGTAGAAGAAGGGGAGGAAGCGGGCGCGATCCTCGCGGTGGCGTCGCGGCGCTCGGGCGATGCCGTCGGCGAGTCCCGGGGAAGCTCCTTGCGGCGGCCACGCCCAGCGT